CCTTTCAAATCTATGATACTATATTTGTGTGTGTGTGTGAATCATATCTATCTATATCTATGGCTGGATGGCTCTTTGTCAGGAGGGCTTTGATTATGTTTTCTTGCCCTGGTGAAGGGAGTTGGACTGGATGGCTTTAAGTATGGGGGTTCTGTATGGGAAGTTTGTGTCATTCGTGGGGTTCATTCAGAATGGTCTTTCATTATAGGTGAACTATAAATCCCAGTAACTACAACTCCCAAATGTCAAGGTCTATTTCCCCCAAACTCCATCTGTGTTCATATTTGGGCATATGGAGCATTCGTGCCAAGTTTGGTCCAGATCCATCATTGTTTGAGTCCACAGTGCTGTCTGGATGTAGGTGAACTACAACTCTCAAACTCAAGGTCAATGCCCACCAAACCCTTCTAGTATTTTCTGTTGGTCAAGGGAGTCCTGTGTGCCACGTTTGGTTCAATTCCATCATTGGTGGAGTTCAGAATGCTCTTTGATTGTAAGTAAACTATAAATCCCAGCAACTACAACTCCTAAATGACAAAATCATTTTTTTTAGTGATGGTCACCTCTTGGATTAGTAGGTGACTTGTGGCCAAATTTGGCAGCAATTTGTCCAGTGGTTTTTGAGTTATGTTAAACCCACGAACGAACATTACATTTTTATTTATATAGATATGACCTCCCAACTTATTTGCCGGGGTAAAGCTAGCATCCTGGTCTCCTCCTAATTCAGAAGCTAGATCCCCACCAAGATAGACTTCTACATGCTAGAACAGGCATGGGCAAACTTTGGCCCTCCAAGTGTTTTGGACTTCAACTCCCACAATTCCTAATAGCTGATAGATGGTTAGGAATTGTGGGAGTTGAAGTCCAAAACATCTGGAGGGTTGAAGTGTGCCCATGCCTGTGCTGGAGGATGGGGACATATGCCTGGACATCTTTTGATCCTTTCTGGTATTTCAACTGGGAGCCAGCTTTATTCTCCTTTCCTTCATGATTAAGAAAAAAGGAAGAAATAAGGAAGGAAGCTCCTATTCTTTCCCATCAGGAAAGTGGAAATTCCATTTATATACACCTGACGGAGGCTTGAGATCTGTTCCTAGAGATTTGCAAGCCTGTTTTTTTTCTTGATTGGCTAAAAGTTCTCTTTCCCTGTTGTCCTGCAATTTAATAGTTTAAAAATCAGTTATAAGATTCAGATGAAATTTGCCTCTAGCCTTAATCTGAGCCTAGAAGCTCACTGTTAGACCAAACACAGGATAGACTCAATGGCTCGAAGGAATGTATATAAGGGAATATCAGTTATCTTTCATTCAGTGCATCTACTCCAGTTGGGATTCATAACTGGATTTAAATGTTATCAAGATAGACAGTTTTATACAGTTGTTATATTTGTTTATATTTGTATTATCTTATGGCATTGAATTGTTGCCGGTGTAAGCTGCCCTGAGTCACTCCTCAGGGGTTGAGAAAGGTGGGTTAGAAATGTGGGAAATAATAATAATAATAATTTGATGGAGATGAAACTCCAAGTGTTATTTTTCCTATAACAGTTGTTTGGCTTAAATAAATTGCATGCAAAAAGTTGTTTCCTGGGTAGGAGAATTATAAGTATAAAAGTTTTGCTAATTAAACTGCAGGATAAATGAATGAATGTTTGAATAAATAAATAAATAAATACATCAATACATCAATACATCAAGCTGCAAGGAAAAATAAATGAATAAATAAATACTTGAGGTACCAAAACAGCTTTTAAATGTATGCTCCTACATTTGGAACAAATGAAACTGAAGAAGGCAGTTAGTAGAAGAGCTTTATAGGCAGTGAAAAGAAACTGGTGCATTTCAGCAGATATCTGGTGTTATTCTATTTGCTGCTTGCCAACCAAGTTATCTCTAAATTCCATGTTTCTGGGAAGTCTGTTAAATGGTATGAAACTGAAATTGCCATTAATTGAAGTGAAGAGAGGGGGGCCAGGGGACAGTTCCATCTTGTCTTCTGTGCTATGCTAATAATATAATATAATATAATATAATATAATATAATATAATATAATATACATATAATATAATATAATATACATATAATATACATATAATATTTATAATATTATAATGTAATACGATATAATAATACAATATTATCATTATATATTTTATATTACATGTAATATTATTAATAATATTACAATATAATGGTATAGTACAATATAGTAATATATGATACTGATATTGTACTATGCTAATAATATAATATATTGTATGTATATATATCTTGTAAGCTGCTCTGAGTCCCCATCGGGGTGAGAAGGGCAGCATATAAATGTTGTAAATAAATAAAATAAATAAATTGAGGAGTCCATAGAGCTGCTAACAGCTATTCTAGCAAAATAGCAACTTTTGATGGGAAAACACATTTAGTGGTCTCTTCCTCGTTGAGAGCCAGTTATTCTGAATTGGGTGCATCATCATTTAATTAAAAATACCTTTGGGAAATATGTCAAAGGCTCTAGAAAAGCAAGCCGGATGCAAACATATGCTGGAGCCAATAGGTCCTAATATTTAGATTTTAGCAGCCATGAAAAACATTCCTGAAATATTTCAAAAGGATTCCACTTTTAATTAGGTTTCTCTTATTTAACTGAAGGACATTCTTCAGGCTACTTTTGCACGTCCCTTTCTCCTCACCACACTTCTCTTGAGAGCTTCTAGAAGGGTAGGTCCTAGCATTTTTCAATCATTACTCTTCTGTTGTAAAGCTATGGATAAGAATTACTTCCACTTTTCCTGTATGCATATCCTGCTACGATCCAACACTACTATTGGGCATGCGGAAGACACAGTGGTGGTGAACAGGAAGTTATGTGACTCTACAAAACATTTTCCAAATGTTCTGGATACATTTTTGTGTAGAAAGTGTTTTAGATAAGGTGTATCTCAAGCAATGTGGAGGAAAAAGCCACGAAAATGGTAACAACCAGAAAGACAGTTGACTGCTTTTTTAAAAAAAATTGCAGATTTTATCTAGGCACTTTTGTCCAAGCATCTCTAGATGTTCCTTTGTATGGATGAAGTTTCTAGCATGCATTAAAAGATTTTTGTGCTGTAAAAAAGAAACACAATTATAAAATAGCACCGTCTGCAAATGTCATCGTGAAAATCTGCCAATTGGTGATTCTTTGCATGTCTATTATGTTGGAATGGGAAGTGCAATCATTATGTTCATCTCCTAATCATATATCCTCCTTCTTGGAGAAAGTAGGCAAATTTTCCACATTTGCTAGCATTTACAATATGAATACTTTGTGAACTTACAACAATTTAGCCAACTCTTTGCCCCAGAAGATCTGCCTAGAGGTTTATCTTATGACATTTCAATGTCACTTGAATGCTTTTTGTTCCAGATGGAGAACTTTACTCCCACTTTCATTTGATTGCATTGATGCTGGCTCTTTCTTAAGGACAGTATTAGCTTTTAACTTTGGCCACATTGTTATTTCTCATTATACATTAGTTATGAAGTGGTGCAGATATGAGTGATCCTGGGACTCTGCTCTGCATTTTGGAGGAGCTTTCCATGGTGCTGAACTGTATACTCAAAATCCGATTGACACCTTGGTTAGTTCCTTTAATGTTCAGTCTGAAATACATTTGCCATTGTATTGACTGGTTGTTGAGTTATACTGCTTGTATTGAGTGCTTCTTATTGATATTTGATCTTGTTAGGTTTGGAGGACACCTCAGCTTCATGACTGAGGTGTCCTCCAAACCTTCCTTGACAGTCTGAAAAATGTGGGGGTTGGTAAATGATAATAAACAGAAGCATTACCACAGTTTCTGAACCAAGTATACCCTGCAGTATCATAAAGTGTCACTCGGGCTTGTGTAACAAGTAACAGTATCTTGGGAGGGGGGAGGGGAGCACAGCGGCAAGTGATAGATAATATGTATAAGCAGAAAAATAACACTAGATGCCAAAAGTTAAAGTATGGTAGGTTGTATTGAATAATATGTATCTGCTGTAAAACAATGTATAACAAATGTATTGAACCATGATAAAATAATAAAAAATATTCAAAAAAACAAGTAACAGTATCTTTACTTCAGTTCAAAGGATCAAACAGGGCAACAATATATACAGTAGTCTCTCTGAATTTACATAATGAACAGAGGGAATGAACAGACCTTTTAAATAGTCTTTAAAATATGCTTCCTGCCTTAAAAATAATCAGGCTTTAGAGAGCTGGCAGCCATTTCCTTCCTGACTATTTCCAGTCAGCACTCTCTTCACTTTACAAAGTGAAAGTGGCAGTTAAAACCGTTTGTCTCAGCAGAAAGCCAGAGACAAAGCCCATCAGAACTCTGGTCCCTGGCATGCTCAGCCAATCAGCTGCCAACACATGTCTTTCCAGTCAACCCACCACATCATGGTGTCTCTTTTCAAATCCTCACAAAAAAATACTAGCCCACACATGTTCTGATGATTCAAATGTTAGATCTGTTCCTGGTATATTTGACCTATTCATCCCAAAAACAGCACCAGTTTTCCTATATCAACTCTAGGTTTTGAGGTCCTGAACATATGCCCTATACAAGTCTTTATCTTCTCTCCCACAGAAAATCATGCTAACCACATCTAAGAAACTAGAGCTGATATAGTCTATCCTATGCAATTTTCTGAATCAACACCCAAATAACCCAGAAACAGGCCTAGGAACCAAGACATCAAGATTGAATTTTTGGGGGATTGGGCTATGTTGTTGTTTTGTAATGTTAACCCTTCAGAGTGTTTTAGCCAGAAGTGTAAGGGTAAAACATAAATTCTTTAAGAACCAGTGTATAAAATAAGAGATTTCCAGCCAAGGAATGATAAGCTGATTAAAACAAAACAGAAATAGTGTGACCTCTTTGTTGCTGACATAGAAGAAAAACACAGATGTCTCCCACAAACCTACAGTGAATATGAGAAAAGCACATGATATAATTTTAGTTATGCCTCACCTCCTCAGAACACCAGGCACATTGTGGATTCACAGTTAAGCACTGCTGACATGAGTTCACTCCTCGTGTAGTACAGATATTACCACCTGAAACACAAAGAACAGAAAGACGTTAGATGGGGAACTTTCATGGACAACTACTTTCATGGACAACACAGTCTGGTTTCAGGCCTGGTCATGGCACCGAGACAGCCTTGGTCGCCTTGGTGGATGACCTCCGCAGAGAGCTGGACAGGGGGAGTGTGACTCTGCTGGTTCTCTTGGACATCTCAGCGGCTTTCGATACCATCGATCATGGTATCCTTCTGGGTCGTCTCTCTGGGATGGGCCTTGGGGGCACGGTTCTGTCGTGGCTCCAGTCCTTCCTGGAGGGACGAACCCAGATGGTGAAGCTGGGAGACGCCTGCTCGGACCCCTGGCCTTTGACCTGTGGGGTCCCGCAAGGCTCTATTCTGTCTCCCATGCTTTTTAACATCTACATGAAACCGCTGGGAGAGGTCATCCGGAGTTTTGGAGTTGGGTGCCATCTCTATGCGGATGACACACAACTCTACTACTCCTTTCCACCTAATTCCAAGGAGGCCTCTCAGGTGCTGGACGAGTGCCTGGCCGCTGTGTCGATCTGGATGAGGAGGAACAAGCTGAAGATCAATCCTGACAAGACAGAGGTCCTCCTGGTCGATCGTAAACCAGATCGGGGTATAGGGTGGCAACCTGTGTTGGACGGGGTTACACTCCCCCTGAAGCCACAGGTCCGCAGTCTGGGAGTCCTCTTGGATTCATCGCTCACGCTTGAGGCTCAGGCGTTCGGCGGTGTCCGGGAGGGCTTTTGCACAATTGAGACTTGTGCGCCAGCTGCGACCGTACCTCGCGAAGGCTGATCTGGCCGGGGTGGTCCATGCCTTGGTCACCTCTAGAATGGATTACTGCAATGCGCTCTACGTGGGGCTGCCCTTGAAGACGGCTCGGAAACTTCAATTGGTCCAGTGGCGGCAGCCAGGATGCTAACCGGGGCTCATTATCAAGAGAGGTCTACCCCTCTGTTTAAGGAGCTCCACTGGCTGCCATTTATTTTCCGAGCCCAATTCAAGGTGCAGGTGCTCACCTACAAAGCCCTGAACGGTTTGGGACCACCCTACCTGCGTGACCGCATCTCCATCTACGAACCCACACGCTCGCTCCGGTCATCTGGGGAGGCCCTGCTCGTGATCCCACCCACGTCGCAAGCGCGCTTGGTGGGGACACGGGACAGGGCCTTCTCTGTGGCGGCCCCCCGACTCTGGAATGCCCTTCCAAAAGATCTTCGACAGGCCCCTACTTTAGCAGTTTTCAGAAAGAACCTAAAAACTTGGCTGTTCCGATGTGCCTTCTCAGATTAGGAATCCCCCATCCCAAGTCCTAGAAGCACTTTAGTACAATCAATATTACTGCACACCGCACTATTTAATCCTACGTTCCTCCTGCCATTTCAGCACTTTTAACCCTGTACCCCATTGCGCCGGCCGGCCCAGTTTTAAAGTGTCTTGATGTATTGTCACTGTTGCTGTTATTTTGCTTAATTATTTTGATTTGCTTTGTTTATTGTTGTGTTATGTTCTACTGTATTGTGTTCTGAGGCTTCGGCCTGTGTAAGCCGCATCGAGTCCTTCGGGAGATGCTAGCGGGGTACAAATAAAGTTAATAATAATAATAATAATAATAATAATAATAATAATACTGGTGGCAAAGTATGTGACATAGAATGCTGTCCTGGAACAACAAAAACACTAAATTAGATGGCATTTGATACTGGTGGCAATTTATCTGCCACTTTCTTGCTGAACCCCCTCAGGAGTAACCAAGAATGCACTTCATTTCCAAGGGCTCACGTCACACAATCTTCACAATCAAGAGTAACTTGATTCTCCAACTTGATTCTCCAAGAAAAGGAAAAGGGGAAAGGCTCTTACTCAGATTCCCAGATTCTGGGGCCTAAATTCAACTGCTGGGGAATTAGAACTGTATTTAGTCCTGAGTGTCCATGCATTGACTTTCATCACAATTTTCAAATTCAGGATACAAATACAGGCAGTCCCCAAGTTACATACATCTAACTTACAGTTCGAAACAGGGGTGAGACAACAGGAAATGCAAAGAAATCTACCCCTAGGAAGGGAAATTCACTGCTGAAAGAGTTATCATGGAGAAAAGATGTCTACACTGAAACTTTCTCACCTATCCCTGATTCCACAACAAACCAATTTTTTCAAAATCCAAGTATTATAGCAGTGGTTCCCAACCTTTTTGTGACTAGGGGCCACTTGACCAGGGATCACTCTCCAACATTAGTACCAAAAAGGTTACTAATCAGTTTTTGGTCAACTTTAAATTCAGTTTGGATATTTTTTATAGTTTACCTACATTTTTCTTTAGTCAGTAAGTTAATTTGTCCATGTCCTCTATTTCCTTCAATTTAATTATCCAGTTTTCAATGTCGGGACTTGTTCTTGTTTCCAATATTTTGCAAAGGAGATTCTTGCTGCCATTGTCATGTATGTAAATAATCTGTCTTTAATTTTCATCAAGGTCCAAGTCCGAGTCAGTAATTCTTAGTAAATAATACTCCGGTTTCTTCTTGAACTCCATTTTAAGGATTTTTTTGTGATTCTTCGTGAATTTTTATCCAATATTTAGAGGCTATCTTACAGGACCACCACATATGGAAAAGGGTCCCCTCATGATCCTGGCATTTCCAACAATGGTTTGGCGTGTTCTTGTACATCTGGCCTAATTTCTTGGATGTAATATACCATCTATGGAACATTTTAAGCCAATGTTCCTTTAAATCCATTACAAAGGTATATTTTAGAACATATGCCATCCAGTATTCATTATCTGCTCACCCACAAAAAACCATATTCAATAGGCCTTGGCATTATAAGAAGGTTTTGAGAGACCAGTTGCTCTAGTTGCAACGGTGTAGTAATGGTGAGGCTGCGGATCATATTTTAGTTCTTGTGGACAACTGGTGTTCCACAGACCAGTGGTTAGGAACCACTGTATTACAGTGACAGAAAATGAGATGAAATCTTCTGAACAGGGGCAGAGACAGCAAAACAAAAGCCACAGTACCTTCTGTACGCTATCCAAAATCACTCACACAAACATACACACTTTTAAAATGTACCTGACTTACATACAAATTCAACTTAAGAACAAACTATAGAACCTATCTAGTCTGTAATTTGGGAACTTTCTGTATATGGCATTTGACCTCTATGATATGAACAGATTTCTTTGCTGGGGGGGGGGGGGTCATTAGTATGTTCACATCACTCAAATACAATGTATCCCTGTCATCAAATATTTTTAAAAACCCCCAAAATACAGTTGAATCATATGATAACAAATGTCAGAGCTGTAAATAATTTTTGTTCAAGTGAGTCACTAATTCAGCAACAGCTCTAATTTAGTAACAGCTCAAAGGACCTAAATTTTCACACCCCTGTCTTCAAATCTTATGGGGAAACAAGGGAGAAAATGTGGAGGCTGTGACAGACTTTGTATTTCTAGGTGCAAAGATTACTGCAGATGCAGACTGTGGCCAGGAAATCAGAAGACACTTCTTGGGAGGAGAGCAATGTCCAATCTCGATAAAATAGTAAAGAGTAGAGACATCACACTGGCAACAAAGATCCGCATAGTCAAAGCCATGGTATTCCCTATAGTAACCTACGGATGTGAGAGCTGGACCTTAGGGAAGGCTGAGCGAAGGAAGATAGATGCTTTTGAGCTGTGGTGTTGGAGGAAAGTTCTGAGAGTGCCTTGGACTGCGAGAAGATCCAACCAGTCCATCCTCCAGGAAATAAAGCCCGACTGCTCATTGGAGGGAAGGATACTAGAGACAAAGTTGAAGTACTTTGGCCACATCATGAGGAGACAGCAAAGCCTAGAGAAGGCAATTATGCTGGGGAAAGTGGAAGGCAAAAGGAAGAGGGGCCGACCAAGGGCAAGATGGATGGATGGCATCCTTGAAGTGACTGGACTGACCTTGAAGGAGCTGGGGGTGGTGACGGCCGACAGGGAGCTCTGGCGTGGGCTGGTCCATGAGGTCACGAAGAGTCGGAGATGACTGAACGAATGAACAACAAATATGTGTATATATTTGTGTACATGTGTGTTTGCGTATATATGTGTTTGTGGTTTTGAGCATGCATTCTAATGGGGTTTTTTTTTGCTTTTTTGGCTTTTAAAGTCTCTTCTGCTGGTTTTTTTTCAGTGTTTTTATGAGTGATGCTCACTTGTTGGCCTGATAGGTATATTGTGTCCAAATTTGGTGTCAATTCGTCCAGTAGTTTTTGAGTTATGAACATTACATTTTTATTTATATAGATGCTCCCTCCCACTGCTACGGGCTTTTAATTTTACAAGACTGATCTAGAGGCATACCTAGGACTTTAAAAAGAACTAAATACTTCTTGCTGAGCCTTTACAAGGGCGGATTCCAGTACAGTTGAAACTATGCATTCCTCGGGGAATTATCAGCAATATCTGGACAGCAATGCAAACTGAAAGCACTGCTTAGCCAAATATCCCTTATCTTAATTATGCCCTTCAGCTAATAAAGAAGGCATTATTTCTGAACCTGACATGTCAGGGAACCAGTGCCTGCTATTGAATGTACAATGCTTGGAACCCTGCCCAATTTCTACTGAATGTGTGGTTTTCTAAAAGCATGTAAGCGTTATCTCAGCTGAAAAGTCTGGGAAACACTGATTTAAGAAAGGGTGTGATATAAACGATGTATATCTCTGAAGACATAAATGGAGACTACATATTTATTTCACTATAGAAATTACAGTATGGTTTTCTTGACTTAAAACCATTGCATCTTTGATTTGACTGATAACTATTCTGAAATAGTGTTAATCCGTTCCCTTTTTATTTTGCAACAAAAACAGCTGGAACCATAAGCCTGACCTTGATTGAAAACATAGTTAGAAGAAAGGTGAAAGCTTTCTCCTTCACTGCCAACCCAATCTGTATCAGTTTATTATAGTTCTCTGTGCTTATTACAGAGCAGAGCATAGGCTGTCCTCTGGCCCTTAATCTTGCCTGCTGCCC